TGTCATTATCGATTTTATTGCAATTTTTTAAAAATTAATGGCATGTGCTCATTGGGGTCGAGGGGGCCTTGGAAGGTCCATTTGCTAGAATAGCACACGATGTTCTTCTTATTGCCACTTGCATACCCCTCTTGCCCTTTAGTCCCCTACTCGATTTAACACTCAACTATAGTTAAAGTTACAATTTAAAATAAATATATTTATTTTCTTTTTAATAGTTCAAAATTTTAGATAAATTAATTCAAACTGATATGAGAGCATTAAAATTTTTTGGATGTAAGTCTCACTGCAATTTCATTTATGAAAATTATACACGTGTTAGGTTTAAGTTTTTAGATATGGGTCGGTTCAACCACCCGTACGATGACCCCATATTTACCCAAGTAATTTCATAAGGTATTTCACCACCCCATTAATTTATGCAAATTGTACAAATGGCAATTGAATTTTTCGTATGATGTGATTCAGCTATCCGTACTCCTCATGGACGGATTTACATGTATTCATTTAGGGTNCAATATAATTATACGATGATTTCGAAGTATGAAAATACGTAGGCTATGGTTGGGATAATGTATTGAATTATTTTCATTAATGTCATGTTACTTGAAAAAGATTTTGAAACATTCATTTTCGACCCAAAAATGAAGAAACACCACCCTATGCCGACTATTTTAGAAGGTATTTCTTGTGAGGGATAGAAATCATAATTTGTACATGTAGCTAATAATGTCCATATCTCAATGGAGGGATATGACAATTGGCAAAAGATATACAAAACTTTATTAGATGAGACTGATTTTGGCAGTTTTCACAATTTTTGGGCCCTTTGTATTGAGATTGTTGGGTCATACGAGCCATATGTAACTCGTGGCTTGACCACTGACACACAAGGCACATTTGATTTGAATTATTTAGGGTTTCACAATCTATCTATGGATTTGTTGTACCCTACAAGTAAAGCCAACAAAAATTAATATATGCTTGGCAAAAATTCCCTTGGAATTAAAGATCAATTGAGTTTTCAACTCGTCCCGTCGTGCGTAAAAGTTAATTATTTTTATTTTTTCTTTAAGATTCTAACACATACGTAACTTTCATAGTCAAATGACTGCAAGTCTCAAATCCGACATTTTTGTCTATTCTTATCTTATTGAACCGATTCATCTAAAAGCTGGAACTCATAAAAGTAACATTGATTTATTATTTAAGTTGTGCATTCGATAATAAGGAATATTTTTTTTGGATAATGTAAGTTTATACTATCCAAAGTATGAAAAAAAAGTACAAGATCACAGGGGCATACCCCAGAAAACAAGGTTAGAAAATATGCTTCCTAGCACAAACAATAACTAGTGCTAATAACTTAGCCACAACAATAAAAAATATCCGCTGAAAAACAATAAGGAATATTGTCGGTATTATTGCGCTCTTTTTTCCTTCTCGACTCATATGGCTCATTCTTGAAACATAAAAAAAAATCATTAGAAGTCATTAAACGAACGAAGTAATAAATAAAAATTCAATTTATTGAACTCGAAATAAATAAAGTTATTGATAATAATTAATATGTAGGAGTAAATAGCAAAAAGGTAGTGGATATCTCTCTTTATTGAAGTCACATGGCTGCATGTGGGATTGTAGTGCCCGTACGCGCTGTGCATCAAAGTACCCTAACATATCCATTATGATTGTCGACTTGTTTTTTTTTTTTTTTTTTTTCATATTCAAATATTCAATTATAATTCATTTATTCCTGGATGGATCTTATCGATTTTCTATGTCTATTTTTTCTTATAACGAATTACTTTAGCATGTGGTTTTGATAATGCAAATCATTAAATATAATGGATTATGCAAATGATAAAAAGCAACAAATTCTTCGGAGTTTGTTGTTTTTAAATAGGTGAAGTTTTATCATGATGACTATCGATATATCTTGTTATTTTTATACCTCTCACGAGTTACAAAAAGAGTTTTTAAAAAAAAGGCTATGTGAAATTCACATTAACATAATGATTCATCGCGAAGAAACATAATATAAATTGTCCAACAAAAAGAGATGTTGTTGTGATCTATATTTATATGAAGATATCAAATCCCTCTTTTTTATTCTTTACTAGTTGTTGCTCATCATTTATCATCCAAATGTTGGCTTTCTTCATGAAAGGTCACATGAATGCATGTGAGCTTATTACAAAAGGGCTATACACATCCCAAAATAAAGAGGAAAAGAGTGCTCACATTACACACTTGTTCTACTACTCCAACAAAGTCTATCCAAAAGAAATATGGGCTTGTGGTCCTTCATTTTGACACCTCATAAATTGCTTTAGCTCCAAAACTTGTCAATGGCAATGCCACAATCGATCTAAAGAAATTGATGGTAGAATTGTTAATCAGACAGGTTGACACGTGTTGTTGATTTTGCTCTCTAGTCGATCAGGCACTATCCATGCCTACCGACAAAGCTAGGCATTACATTTTTATATTGTCTACTTCAACATAAAATGTGAGTTGTATCATGTCTATAAATGACCGACACTAGACCATTTAGAGGGCGGGACATACCTAACACCTCCAATGTTCGATATAATTAAGGTAGTAGAACAAAACTTAATTATCTCATGTTTGAGTGTTTGCTTATAAATAGTTTAAAACTTACTTTTTTTTTTGAAGTACGTAAAGTGTTGTTACTCGTGTGAAATATACAAGTCCAACACAATTTCAAAATTATATTTGTGGTGTAATACATCAATAGTTAAAGTGGTTCTCTACATATGAAGAGAATTAATTGAAATATATAACATTGAGCTCATTTTATATCGGTCCAAGTCCAATAATAAAGGATATTTATGTTGTACAAAACTAAACATTGCTACACTACACAATAGAAACATATATCAGTTTTTGTATTTTCATTTTTTCAACCTTAGAATATTTGGAGAGAAAAAAAAAGGCAAAGTGTTGGGGGACCTAAATTATTTCACAATTTATCGATTCCGGCACTATTGTTTGTTAAGTACTTGAACTACTACTTTTAATAAGATTAATATTTTAAACGTTTAAATACATTGCTTGATAATGATGATATTCCACATTGATTGAAAATGAAAAAAGTAAACAACATTAATAGTTTGTACTACTCATGTTAACAAGATTGATATCTTAAGATGAAACTCTAAATCTTAAAATTGAATCAGAATCCATTAAATTCAAACAAGTAATGTTGTTCGTCTAAATCTCAAACGAACGTTCGAATTCTAAGATCAGTGTGTAAACGAGCTACCATCTTGGGTACCTATTTTGGACCATTTAATTTATTAATGCCACAATTACCCTACACCATAAAGTTTTAATCATAAAACAAATTAATCACATTGAAAACCTAAAGTCAATTTCATTTATTAAAAGAGGAAAAGTTTGAATTGTTACTACCATATCACATGTGCATATGTGATGGGGTGGGTCCTTCTTAAAATGTAGCACATGGCAGGCGGCTGCTGCCTCCATTAGCCTGTTCTTTTGTCGATTTTGCCTACTTTTAAAGATGTGGGGTTGAGGGTTGGCCATATATTTTCACCATTTTTTTTTTTTGTTGTTTTAATATCTTAAAAAACATCGAAGGGTATGTCAACCGGTAGTTAATATTGTCAGTACTATAAAATTAATTTACTAAGTATCTATTTGATATTAAAAGTCGATAAAATTTAATTATTAATCACATAGTTCATTGATCCACAACTTTTATTTACTTTTTAACTACATATTTCATTGGATCCAGCGAGTTATAATCGAAAAAACTTTTTCAAAAAGGCTCGAATGAGTCAAATATGTTACTTGTCCTCCAATATATGATAACAAATACTTTCAACCATTAACCATTATTCGTAAAGTAGTTGTGAAAATGCTGCGATAGTTAATTACCACGCATTATTAATACGTACGAGTGCGAAGAGAGCTACCTAAAAAGTACAATGCATTTCATGTGATAGACATTTTTTTAGTAAAACGAAATTAAAATATTTTATCCTTCTACAAAAGGAGGTTCAAATTGAATAGTTTGGAAATATTTCATTTTTATCACTTGATTCTTGAGTTACTTTATTTAAAAAAATTAATTGCTAAAGAGGAAATACATTTATTTTTCATATTTAACCTGCAATAATGATATTAACCTTTTTATTTATTTTATATTAAATTGATGAAGTTAGTTATATCACAAAATCTATCTAGTAAGGATCCAACCAGACCACTATATTGCATGTGATGTAATAATTCAGGCATTAGAGGGACCCAAAAAAATGTGGGCTCATAATTAGAAATATTTTCATAATTAACATAGGATAGTCAATCAAATTATTAAATTGGAATACATCTTTCCACTTAAGGTAGATAAAAGAAAGTTGGCTTTCATGGTTTTCATGTGATTATAGGTACACCGACGAAATCAAAAGAGGAATAATCCCTCGATATTCAAATTTCAGGCAATATCTCATGTTTGAAGTCGACTCTAATATTGTCCACACATCACAATTATACGAAACAGTGAAAAAGATTCAACCAAATTTACGATTTAATCAAAAGCCAAACTAATAACCCCATTAATGTTAAATTAACAATGGATAGTGGAAACCAATTAAGAACAAAAGAAAGAATAAATAATAAAAATAATTTTAGAAGAGCAATAAATATAATAAAAGGAAAATATAATATAAAATAGTAAAAGATATAGAGGGTGTTTGGTAGAGATTAAAATCGGATTAAAATTGAAAAACTAATCGTTATTGTTGACTTTTATTAGATGAGTGAGACCCAATAACAACTATATTTTCAATTTTAATTGAATTTTGAGTCGTACCAAACAGGCCCATAATCTAGGCTAGCAGACATGTGCACAATGAAAAAACGAAAATATAATAATTTCTCAAATTATTAACATAATTTTTTTAATAAATTAAGAAAAGAGGAAAAAAAAAAATTAAACACCTCCAAATATACTAAGAAGTAAATGACTGGTCCGAGCCGAGCCGATCAGAGGAATCGGCTAACGTCCCGCCTCCGCCGCCATTCAGGAGGCCAGTGAGAAATGTCATGGCTTTGACTTGCATTTCTAAAGCCGCAATATAATCAGTCGCTTCTTCTAGAAGGTTTGGCATTGAGAGATTACGGCAACCGGGAACTAACCGTCCCAGTACTTGCACTTTCCTTTGCAAAAGCGGCTGTTTTTTCTTAACTGCCGGTTTCTTTATCCGCGAATTTCCAGTCCCCGGTTTTGCCGCTCTTTTGTGTTTCCTGTTGACCTGAGCGAGTCGCCGGCTGAGTCGACTGGTGAGAATTGCCCTGCTCCACCGAGTCCGGCCTTTAGCAGAGTTAGCAAGGACACGATCTGCAGCCTCGCGGACTATGCGGCTGGATGCTGTGGTGGAAACAGGGCGGCGAAGGTGGCAGAGGGCATTTACAAGCTTCGATGAGTAGATCTGTTGCTCCGCCTCCGTCTTCCATCTCATCTCCTCAGAATGAATTTGAGACCGACTTTCCACCCCGATTTTTCTTCTCTTTTTCGGCGATGGATTTGAGTTTGCATCCGGATTTGCAATCGTTGATGATGCCATTATCAATCAGAGCGAAAGGATTCCGGAAATTTTGTTTAATTTCTGAAGTTTTTCTTGCAATTCGAGCTCGAGGAGATTCAACTGCAGATGAAGATTGCGTTAGATTCTTAATGGCTAAAGCTTTACAAATCTTCTACGCTCATACATGAAAAATTATTGATACCTTATTGCTGAATCTGGCTTGATGTAAAATGGATTGAACAATTCAATGGACACAAGAAGTATAATATATATGTGTGTATATATAGGTGTATCTATAGGCTCCCATGGGGTGGTGGGTTGGGGTGTATTCCTTCTAGTTACACTATTCTACCATTTATTACCTCTTTTTTTTCCTATTCCTTTTCCATGATTTTCATGCGCCTTGGTAAGGTTGTTTTGTCAACTTTTTTTTTTTACTAGCATTTTATTATAGAATTTTTTATTTTTTTTTATAAAAGTCGTGTTTGAACTAGAAGAGACCACGTTCAATAATCTCGCCCACTTAATTGACAACATTATGTTTTGAGATCCAAAAGTTGCATTTGGATCCATTTGATTAATTTTATAACAGTACTTTTTAAATAAATTGGCTCAATATTAGTAGTATACTTCATCGACAGTCCATTGGCAAATTATTGCAATGAAAAAGGTAAGAAAATTTCACTTTCATTATTGACACTAACTGCTTTACCGTTCATCTTCAACAATCCAGGGAGAGTTGGCAATTGTCGACGATCATTAATTGATGATATTGTTATCAGTAACTCCTTTTGAATCTCTTTATTCCAATTTTTGGAAAGGTCAAATATTTTGCGTAAGATCTCTATATTATTTGAGATGCCTGTAATCGTACTTTCCAGAGTTAACCTAAAAAAAAAAAAAACACAGAGATGGTATATTGATGCCCCTCACTTTTCCTGTTTATTAAAGTAGAAAAAAAAAAGAAGAAAAACAACAATTTGTCAACTTAAGCCTTTACTACTAAACTGTTTCATAAGTGCCCATAGAAAATATGAACTTTTTACTATTCATATTTGTCCTTTTTCAGCTTTAGCATTGCCAAGATAGCAAGGCTTTTTTTTTTTTTTGCCTTCCTGATTTTCTTAATTGAATTTTTTATTGATAAGAGTTTTAGTTTTTAGTTTTGAATTTTGTATTTTGTATTTTGAGTGTTCAATTTGAGATTGCTGAAAACACGTTCTTTTTGTCATTTTGAAAAATTATTTTCAAAAATAAAAATGAAGTTTTGGATTGATTTTAATTGAAGATAGCCAAAACGACTTTTTTGACGTTTTCCGTTTTCTTTGTAAATTTTAAACTCGTTTTTGGAAATTCGTTTATGAAAATAGATAAGTAAACGTGTTTTCAGTGTTTTCGAAAATTGAAAATGGTCTTGAAAACGATGATTTTGAGTACCAAACTGGGCAAGTTAGATTGACTGACCAAAAAGACAATCAGTTTATCGATACAAAAACAATATGTCAATCTATGTGTCTAACGCTATACAAATTGAAAACATGAATGTTAGATAGACATAAAAAAGACAAAAAGTAAACTGGCTATCTATATGACAGATGGTAGAGATGACTTGGACATCTGAAATTGATCTCTCCTTGTCCTCATCACTTCAAACTCGTCAATAAGCGAATCTAATGGAAAAGTATCAGTACTGAAATTCAATGTTCAATTCAATCGCATGTCGCCCAGAGAAGAGATTTGAGGAAGAATGAAGGGTGTCTGTAGTCAGGATTACATTTTGTGGGCCGTGGCATGTGGGTATGCTTTGGGTAATTGATTCATAAATGGGTCATTTGTTTTTAGATTGAATTTAGGCTACTTATTTATTTAAGTAACTATTGGATCTTTTGTTTAGGTCTAAGATTTTTATATGATTGAATTTTAAAGTGTAAGTTAATTGGTCAATATTTATTAATGGAAAAAAAAATTTCAAAATTTTGCCAGAGCGAAATTGAAAAACACATTACAAATTAACTAGTAATAATGGACTAGCGGACAATGTTGGGGGCGGTCACCCCCCTATCTCCGTCTCTGGTTTTCGAAGTATTTGTACCTGTAACCAGTTGAACGTACTATTATCTAAGTATGTATAGCTATTAAGATCAAATTAATATTTTACTTAATCTTGATTTGTGTGAAATATATTATATTATAAATATTCAAATAATTAGATTTTAGAATCCAACTTAATTCCCTATGTTAACGTTCATCTAGTCGACATTGTTCGCAAGAGCGAAATTTGGGAGAGAAAAAATTAACATAACATGGAGAATCATCGAATTTTGAGAAAAAAACAAAAAAATAGATTTTGAACACGAAGATGCGGTCAAAATGCCAATTTTAGTTAGTTCAACAAAACAAATGTAATCTTTTCAAGCAACCCGACTAAAATAGGTCACTATGGTTGTTACATTTTTAAGTAAATTTCAACAATCCTAGAAGAGATATTCAAATATAAGATGTCGTGGTTGGAAAATTTTGATAAACTAACGAACTAGAATAAAACAAATGATAATCGTGGCTTGGTGGGATTTGTGCCATCTTGAATTCTCCCCACAAAACAAAGTACAAACAAAATGTATCATTAAATTACTATAAATATTTCAAGAATATAAAACATAGTTGTCCCCATGTCTCCTTATCGTGTCTTGCAAGGACAATTATGTTATATAAATATATTTATTTATTTTATTTAATAATAAATTAAAAATTGATATGAAAATATGTATTTGTTGGCAAAGTAAAGTTGGCTTCCTCCTATTGGCTAGGTGATGGGGTCAATTTTCATTTGGTTTTATTAAAAGTAATGATGAGTGGGTATTACACAACAAATAGGAAAGGTAAGCATGTGGTTGTTTTCATGGCACTTTCGATCGCTAGTGGTATTTGTATTTTTTAATGAGTTTCTTTGGACATTTATACACCTTTCTTGGATGTGGAGATGTTTGATCAACATTGCTCAACAATAATAGGATTTTTTAATATGTTGAACTCGATAACACTGAATTTTGTCACATATTTTTTTATAAATCCGATTGAGCTGCAAAACTACATAAAACAATAAATAAACTTCGTCAATCCAAATAGAATTTGCATATATAAGTCTTTAGAGTTAGAAATTGTGAAGAGTAAATTACAAATAGAATTGTCTAAACCAACATAGTAGCAATAAATAATAATTTTACTAGCTTCGGTGTCATTTTTAATATGTGGTCTAGAGCAACATCCGCTCCAAATGTGGTGTTCGTGGCCTTGTTAGTTTCAAAATTTGTGATCCTAATATCTACATTGCTTAGATGCATGATGTTATTATACATGTAATCGTTTGTGTTGGGTGTTGTGGGTTTAGAATAGAGGTGTTAATTAGATTGGGTTGACACGACTTGATTTTGAGAAAGTATCCAACAAGGTTATTACGTGAAGCATGCGGTGTTAGACTCTATGTTACACAATATCTAATAGAATAACCCTGAATTGATTAAGCAACTCAATAGACCAGATAATGAAAACAAAATCCTAAATCAAAATCACTCTCGATTGTACAAAAACAAAATAATTGTCTTTGTACAACTCCCAAAATATGCACATAAAACTTTGTTCATGTATTTTATGTCAAACTATTTCTTTGGGAAAAAAAATTGTTACTAAACACATCTATATTATATTTGTTTCTAGCACGTGTTAGGAGATCTAATAGAAACCATTTATAGGAACACAGATTTTGGTAATGCTGTCACACTTTTCATTAGTGTTCTAAAAGACATAATGCGTGGCGATGCATGGAGGCCAAGCTATGGGCTGGACGAGTTTAGGCGAGACATAAGCCTAAAAAAATGTAAAATGACGTTTTCTTATTTTCATATTAGTTCAATTTTCAATCAATCAAAAAATTATTTAATAATTAATAATAATACCTACCAAATTGGATTAATGATAAACTCTATTATTTGTTTATTTTAATTCAAAACAATTAGTTTAATATTTTTCGATTTTTCTTGATTGATTTTGCATTTCCATTGAACTATTTGATTGTTTGATCACCAATTAGATAATAAATTACCTGTTATAGTGTATGAATACTGATAATTAAGTCTAAAACGTGGTAAAATCAACACATGGACAATATGTATTATGAATAATATCTATTGCAATCATGTGATAAATCATGCGAATCAATGCATTTTTTCATATGAATTCGAGCTAGGAATAGGATCGGGTCGTGTTAAATATAGATTTAATATATCTTTAAAAAAATATTGAATAAAAGTAAATTATCGATTGTTTTAAATGCATGAATTTATTATATTACAAATTAAGAATTAAATTAAATAGCAATGAGAGGATTCAAAATTCCAATACAAATATTCACATATTAGATAAATACTTTATTTGCTTTCTTAGTTTAAGATTAGAATAGAAAACATACAAACTATTTCTTATTACAACTTCAAATTTGATAAAATCTATTGAACTAGATATTAGACTTTATTCCTCGTGGTAACGATAAACTCGAAACTCGTTGAATTCTATTAGTTGTCAAGAAACCAGTACGTTTGCAAGTTTCAATTGAACAACCTACCCCTTTAAGATGGTGACTCATTTAATCAAACTAATCTTGAATCCGCATGCTCATTTTTTGAATTTTAATCAGATCAAATTGTTTGTTGGAGTTTAATGAGCTCTGATACCATATTAAAATTTGATGTTCCACCTTAAAAGGTCAACATTGTTAAGAAGGGTAATACAAATCTTTATAAATTGATCTGTATTTTCATCTTTATTCGATATGAGATTTTATCTCTTAACAACTGAGATTGATGGAAAGTTATATTTTTTCCTTTTTTTGCACAAGAAAGAGTTTTTATAGTGTAAAAATACTTTCTACAATGCCACCATATAAATAGCTTCCTTGACGTGATTATTCATCCTAAAATACCATATAATGAAGTCTACTGAACCAAAACTACTTAGTTTTCTTCCCTAATACTGTCGAAATTTATCCAGTCTACTCTACAAATTACAAATTAAGAATTAAATTAAATAGCAATGAAAGGATTCAAAATTCCAATACAAATATTCACATATTAGATAAATACTTTATTTGATTTCTTAGTTTAAGATTAGAATAGAAAACATACAAACTATTTCTTCTGATATTACAACTTCAAATTTGATAAAATCTATTGAACTAGATATTAGACTTTATTTCTCGTGGTAACGATAAACTCGAAACTCGTTGAATTCTATTAGTTGTCAAGAAACCAGTACGTTTGCAAGTTTCAATTGAACAACCTGCCCCTTTAAGATGGTGACTCGTTTAAACAAACTAATCTTGAATCCGCATGCTCATTTTTTGAATTTTAATCAGATCAAATTGTTTGTTGGAGTTTAATGAGCTCTGATATCATATTAAAATTTGATGTTTCACCTTAAAAGGTCAACATTGTTAAGAAGAGTAATACAAATCTTTATAAGTTGATCTGTATTTTTATCTTTATTCGATGTGAGATTTTATCTCTTAACAACTGCGATTGATGGAAAGTTATATTTTTTTCCTTTTTTTGCACAAGAAAGAGTTTTTATAGTGTAAAAATACTTTCTACAATGCCACCATATAAATAGCTTCCTTGACGTGATTATTCATCCTAAAATACCATATAATGAAGTCTTCTGAACCAAAACTACTTAGTTTTCTTCCCTAATACTGTAGAAATTTATCCAGTCTACTCTACAACACATGCCATAAGATACCAATTTGAGTTGTTCATGCAAACACTAGAAAACATTAAGGAGGTCCACATAAACTCGTGAAAGGTTCATATACAAAATACTTAAACATCATGTTCAAAAGACCTCTAGTGCAGGCTTATATGTACACAACCACAGGAACTAGATATACTAAAGTGTATTAAATCCAGATACATTACCTCCAAAAACAGCACTAATAGACCTTGAACATCAAAATATCCATTTGTCCATTCTTTAACTGGCTAATCCAGGGAGCCGTAGAATTCATCCCAATACGTCTGCAATATAGGGTCATTGGATTGAGCATTCTTCAACATCTGATTCGCCAATTCAACCGAGGACTTATCGTGCGAAAGGACGTTCTCATGTTCAGGTTGCAAAGACACGAAATAGTCATTGTGTATTTCTGAAGATGAAGAGGAGTTCAGTGCACGCTCATAAGTAGCTAATTCTCTATTATATCTCTCTCTGTCCATCTTATGTGCATCTATGTATGGCTGCAAAAGAAAAGGCAAAAGAAACTCGAGTTTCAGCATGGTGTCATGTTCCAACCATTTTAAAAAGAAGTGTGTTGCATTCCCTAAATTCACTAGTTTAAAATGTTTTAATATCCAATTGTTTCTGATTTTCGTTAAGATTAAATTTCCACCAATGTTTAAGGCATAATTTTGTAATAAAAATATTAGAATAGATTTAAAATTTGTAAGTAGTCGCCAAGAACAGTATGATGTCAGACACATTGAAATTAATTACCAGTTTGTCTTCCTCAGAGAGATGCCTCCATGCCTCAATTGCCATGTCCCGAATATTCTGGCTGCTGGAGTTCTCTCCATAAATTTCCTTTAATCCATGACATGCTATCCTAAGGAAGATCTGGTATCCGGTCCTTGGTTTTAGGGGAGCATCAGCTTCCTTTATCAATTCCTTATCTGCAGTCGACAGCATGGCTTGTATCTGATCCACTGGACAATTTAAGCCATCACAGTTCATTAATACAAGCATGTAAAAGTAGTCGAGCTTGTGATTCATTTTTTGATTTTTTACAGCTTTACCGACATTGAGAAACCATCAGAAAATTACTGAAAGAAGGAAAGAAAATATCTAAGCTGGCCGATGGGCATTTTCTTGATTAATAAAAAGAAGTGACTAATTTCAAATATCTCTATCATAAAAAAAAAATATCTATAAATGGTTTCCTGTCTTTATGCGGTGCCTTTGACTAGAATTAATAAGATCATTCTTACTGACATCATTTGATTGAAGCAAAAATAGGATTAACCTGCAGAAACTTGGTAAGAATGATTGTTGATCTTCTTTTTCTCTGCTGGACCCTCCAGATCACAAGAACAAACAGTTGACAAAGAGGACGAGCTATCACAATACTTCCGCTTTCCCGTCACGCAGCTCAGGCTGTCCCCATAACTCGAACGACCTGCATATACAATGCACTAACACTTTAACATGAAGAGAACTTGTTCTTTTACATGCCAACAGCAAAACAAGAATAAAAAAGGGTTAGGGACAATGATATGTTAAAAACTAGCTTTCCACCTAGAGAAGTTTTATCTGGCCTTGTGTTTGCTTCTTTAGGCACCCTATAATGGTACATTTGCTCAAATTGGTACAGGAGATTTTCATAAACTGTTTGAAGTTCTATTGGTCGCATTGAGACACTGCATTGCAAGTTCAAGATAGATGCAACTTCATACCATTTCCCATATTTTGTAACCTGAAATTTTTTACAAGAAAGATTACATAATTGAAGAGATTGAATACAGACAAACTAAACCTACATCAAATAACAATTTTGATCTTTCCAATTGCATAAAATAGACTTGAGATGGCGAATGAAAAGTTACATATTGGGATAAACCTTACATAACTTGCAATAGAACAGAAGTTCTAAAAAGCTTAAAGGGGGCATAAATTACATCATATCCCAGTTTCGTTGTTTTCAGTCACCCATTTGAGGGCACCAGCACGTACAATCAGTAGAAGTGTCAATCAATATAAAAAGGAACTGCACCACGTATCACCATCAACAACGTAGGCAGTAGTCATTGAGACTTGTAAATACAAAGCCAAACGTACCTGATGAAACCCTCCTCTTTGAGTCACTTCTTTGTAAAGAAGATGCAAATCCAAGTTGGCTTCTCGAAAATTAAAGCTGCACAGGAAAGAATTCCACCAGGTTTCAATCTTGAACCCACCCCACCCGAAGGGATGTCTAGGAAGGAAACCAATCAAAATTTACAAAAATACCAATTAGCACATGCCTTGGGGATTCAATGATATGCTATATTGTACACACCCACATGATTTTTTATTTTTATTTTTTTTGGTTCTGAAACGTTGATGGATTAATTACTAGCTTCAATTTTTGTAAACTTCCCCAATGCGACTTGCTAATATTTGGGTCTCGATAAATAGAGGCGAATAAGATCCAGTGCTTCAGCATTAATATTTTCAGTAAGTAATGCAGTAAGCAGCAAGCAGGTTTGGATAAAGGTCAGCCAAAAAATGGTAAGCACCTAGCTTAATCCTTTTTACTAGTTTAGTAAAGTCAAGCTTTGGCTTCCGGATGACTACAATAAATAAAGAGGTAACCTTTATATCACACGAGCTTCAATGATAGCATTATCACATGCTTCAAATTGTCTACCCGGGGTCTTTTGGGAGCTTAAAGGCCCTTATTATCTTGGAGAATTTATGGAGGATAAAGATTTAAAATAATCAAAATGCATTGCCTCAGCGTTACTGCTCTCAGTGAGCAATGGGCTAAATCAAGGTACTGAATATTTCCATAAGGACTTCTTTAATGTGGCTCAATAACATAGTGCCGAATAAGATCCAGCATACAGCAGCGATGATGAGATAAATAAGCAATTCCAATTTATTAACTCTAGAAACTATGTTCGTGGACACAGAAAGCTGTTGAATATATGACATAATGCATCTCAGACATACATGGATGCGCATACTTTATTTAACTAAGCATATAAAACAAATAACAAAACGACATATGCAAATAAGTTGCTGAAATATGACGCAAAAAGAAAAATTAAAGTGTAAGTTTTGAAGAAAATAGCCAACATGACCACAGATTGAGAATGACAGTCTTAGTCCAGCATATCAAAGTTCAAAGTGTTCAAAGGTCTTAGCACTTTGCAACATTAAATATGCGCATTTTAGTATATAAATTCGGACCACTGCAAGGCTGCACCCCACATCCTCAACTCCACACACACACGAACGTATAAAAAAGAAAAAAAAAGTAAGACCTTAAACACACAGCCTCTTCTTTTCAGCTGGTAATGAGCCCTCAACCACTAAACTCTATATGGTTCTCTATATGGTTCAGCATTATGCACTGCCCATAGGCACACTTGCAAAGCGCATGTAATCAAATTTTTTTTTTTTATCTCTGATTCTACCTTGTGAATAACATAGCAAAATGAGCACATTGGACGGTAGCACTTCAAAAAGAAATTAACTTGGGAAAAGTGAGAAACAGACAAACAATTACCAATTCATATAATGACCAGTGACACGAAACAATGCCCATTAATTTGTTTCTCCTTAATTTATTGTTGCCAATCAACATATAATACATCAAAACCTTCAAATTTAGAATCCCCAAACAAAATGAAACCACACGAAACAATGCCCATAACTACACTTTTGAATGGATTTCTCTCAAATCTAAGTTTTGATTTCTAAATTAGAAGACAACATAACTATTAGGTCAACCTTGTTAAAATGTATAGCAGCTCAAGCCCTTTTGCGTTGAGTAAACTTGAAGCGATATGGACAGGACTACAAGATGGTGGCTAATTTGAGTAAAACAATCTTGATCATATTGCTTGTATAGTTTTAAGCAGACCGAATTGCTCGTTGAACTTAATGAACTTTGAGACCATTTCAAGATGGAACGCAAAGTTCAATATAGTATCCGAATCCAATAAGCTCAAACAAGCCATTTGACCTGTTCAAAGCCTAAACCAGCATTCGAATTCCAAGAAAAGGCGTGCTTGAAACTATAACTCAAACACCACATGCATTGATTCGTGTGTGTAGAGAAAAGAAGTATAATCTCACACTCGACTCAGCCCTGACGATTCGTGCAACTTGCTTAGCTTTCTATAGAAACTGTCATCAGAAGCCTTATCACGAGCATTAAGCGCCGGTGACTTAGGGCTCATCTCGCCGGAATCATTAGCGCCATCGCAGCCGTTAATTTTCTTCTCCATTGTTTCTTCACATTTCCTGTGGTCTGTGGATTCACACCAAATGCTATGGTTTCGTTTCGTTTTACGAATTTCGATAGTTGGGAGAGATGTGCAGCGTGGGACATGGATGTTTGCCACGTGTGATGTGTGGGCCCTGTGGAAAAACGAAAATGCATCAGAGACGCTGATCGTGGTCATTGACGGTGAGATCAGGCTACTATGTGGCTTGCATGCATCAATCTCAAAGTTGATGAGATCACCACCTTTCAAAGTGGAGGTAAACTGCAAAGAGCATTTCTTAGCCGTTCATACTCTTACATATTTTGGCTACTTTTTAACCGGTTGGAAATTTACTTAATATGCATAGCGAAATTTAAACAAAATTTTCAATTCCCATTAAAAATATTCTTTGTATTTAGATAAAAATTGTGATAGAAAAATTATACATTTTCTAGATTCTGCAAACTCATTTGTTGAACTTGGAACACGAACAATCACGTTCTGCAATCCACATCTGTCCAATAATTCAGCATCCAATGAAAATCCACACAAGGAACAAGAATATGAGAATTAGGGTTTCTATTTAGTTGTGCTAACAAGATAATGAATTGTATTCTATTGTTTCTAAAACTCCAATAACTTATTAATGTAATCCAAGTAGACTTGGTACGTCTCTTAAATTTAATCCGATCTAATATTTAATTAATCTAATTAATTAAATTTGGTTCATGAATTAATTAATCCAGTTAATTAACCCGAGTTTATCAACAAGCAATTCCATTAATTAATTATTCAATACTTGTTAATTAATTAATTGGTAAATCTCTCTTGTTCTCTTTTTATGTGTAGCCCATTAAATTATCGATCATGATGTTTAATAATGTAAATTATTGTTTTGATCTAATCAAAATCGATAAATTAAAATACCAAATTTTAATTTATCACCAATTCACATTCATCGTTCCAAATTAGAGGTGTCAATGGGTCGAGCCGAGCAGCTCAGCCCATACCTACACGAGCTCGGCTCGTGCTTGTTCCCAACGAGCCAAGCTTAAGCTTTGCTCGTTGGTCTCGCCCAAAATGAGCCGCTCGGCTCGCCGACTCATCATTTTGACGATTTATTTATTTATTATTATTTTTTTTAACACTACTATAACTAAACTTTAAATTCAAAAAATATATATACACACATTTTATAATTTTTTTAAAAATATACATTTTCAAAACATTTATAATTTTTAAAATAATAAGAACAAAAAATTATTTGTCAAGTTTAGTTTTTTTTGTTTACCCTTTTGTAAACAATTTTTTAAATATACATTTTGTAAAATATTTTTAATTTTTTTTAAAAAAGATAAACCGTCACAAGAACAACTTGTTACGTGTACAATTTTTTTAAAAAAATTATAAAGGTATGAAAATAAAATTTTGTGATGAATGCGGTTGCAGCTACGTACACAAGAAACGAAGTGGTGTCCGGCAATGAAATGAGGGACATAAATAACCCACTCTTCG